ACATTAAACCAAAATTAGTAAAAAGTATACTTAAGACAAAATCAAGATCCCCCAGATGACAACTATCAGGCTTTACAAATCAAGAAACAAGCACAAAAAAAATCATAACTTTAATCTTACTGTATCAAACAAGAAACAAGAAATACCCAATTGAGAAAATCACAAGGGAAATACAAAAAGTAGAAAAATTAATCATATTTGATGAAAAAGATTGAAACTTTATATCAAACTTACCAAGAAGAAGAGTCTAAAAAGTTAGAAAGAACTTAGAACAGGTGCAATGGTGCTTTGCCACTTTTATTCTTGGAGAGAAGAGAAGCACTGGTAAACCAAATACATTTAAGTCAACATAATTTCCACTTCCAACAAATTGATTTTTTTAGTAAAATTATTAATAATATATAAACAGACACTCAAATTTGATCTCAAATCGATGAGCCTTCCAATTCTACTTTTGATTATACGCGTCTAGATACCTCAATTCATTTCTATCGTGTCATTTGAACCGTTCAACTTACAAAATGATATTAAGACACCTACGAAATTTATGTGTTAAATCAACATCAGATGTTTATACAATATAATGGAAATGAGATAAAATATATGGTTATTAGTTGAAATCAAGTTAAAATATTTATATATTTATTCTCAAAGTTATAGTCCTTATTTACAGAAAATTAAGTATCGTCTTATTTTATTTTATTTTTGTAAAAGAAAAGGAAAGAAAAAAGCAACTTCAAGGTGTTTTACAACTTTTTCTGGGTGCTTCTGAGCATGTGTGAGAGAACATTTCTTTAATATTTTAAAATCAAATCCAAAAGCATTTGTTTCCATTTTAGGTGATTTTGAAGATTTAATTATCAAGAGCAAAAAATGGGATAAAAATAATTTATTACTAAATGTAGGTAGTTAGGTGTGTCTAATCACTAGAGTGTTGAAATTTTATGATAATTGACCTCTACTGTTGTCTTTGACACCCAACCCCTCAATTATGTGGCACTCTCATACTTTGGTCCTATTAATATTATATTTGATAAAGACCTTTTCTTTTGATTTCTCACTCTCTTCGTTAAAGTTTAACTAAATAAGGTTTATCAAAGAAGAAATATTCTCAAAAAAATTACACACAATAGTCTTGAAAATAGTAATTTTGAACTTTTGACAGCCTGCTTTGTCATAGAGAAGTCATAGTCTTTCAAGATCATCTAAATTCAAGATTATTTTTATAAATTATTCTCATGTTTCAGAGCTCGAATCTGATAGATGTGAATTCAAAATTAATTGTTTGTAGGTTCTTATATCAACAACAAGTTGATATACAAAATAATAATTGAATTCACGAATAAATATTTTAGATTTTTAATGAACTGCGTATTATACAAATAGGATTTGGATACATGCCAATTAGGTTCTTGTGAATCCGTAGATTCTCTTTTAGATCCATTCCTAGAACTAGAAATCTCAGGTTAGAGATAGAGAGATGATATTCATTTCTAATGACGAATCTAGAAGAGAACCTACATTTACAAATTTGTTATTTTATGTTCCTTTAACAAAATATTTTTATTTTTACATATACAAGATTCATTTTTACGAATAAAATATTCAAAAAAGTCATTTTCTTCTATTCAATTTTTACATGGACATAAAAAAAAACATTTCCTCAACTCACAGGAAGCAGTAGACTATACCCAAATTCTACATATATATTAAAAGTTTATAAATTTTAAATTCTGAATTCGATTTTCTCGGATCACATCATAATTCTTAATGGTATTTAGTAGGACCCTAATTATACATCAAAGTGGGCAGGTCAAATGGACTTGTATATGCACTAATTTTCTTTTTCTATGTTACAATATTTCACTTTCTATGAATAGGGTAGTAGTTTTAATTTCATCTGTGGTTAGGAATTCAAGTTAATTACTTGAAGAAGAAAGACTGTTGATGATATTTCTAGAGAAACAATAAATAAATAAATTGGACACATATTCTTGGGTTTGGTTTAGGAAACTTTATGATTTTTCTTCTTTTAGCATAAACAGGAAGTGGTTGAAGAATATTCATCCTTTATTTATTGTATAAAAATGATTGTCCATCCACCTGTCCCAAAATGATTGTTTTTTTTTGGTTAGTTTGATGCTCACGTTGGAACTTGACTAAATTCAGATTCATGCCACGAAGTCCTATATTGAAGGTAAAATGCTCCCTAGTAAAGGCGATTCCATTTCCAGAAAGATTTGAACCCAAAGGGAGGAAGAAAAAAATGGAAATAGAAGTTGTTTTGGTGGTAGGTTCTACTGTTAGACTTATTACGAGAAAAATATAATCTTTTGATGGAATATTTATGACAAACACATTGATTTATAAAAGTATGACGAGTTTGTGATAATATTATGATAGAATTCATCATTTTTTATGAATTCAGGGCGATTTTACAACAAATTCTTTATCGTGAATGAACTTTCTTGTAGTAATATACATCACAAATTAATTTAGTGTTATTGATATTTGTGCTAAATTCAGGAAAATTTATAACTCGAATTTATGACGACTTATTTATCACAAATATTATTCTTTTCTTGTATTTAGTAAATAAGTCATTTTTAAAAAAAATTAATACACTTACACATTTTTGGGCTTCTTGTTGGGCTTACCGGATAGAGATTGGACACACATTTTGGGCAACTCTTTCATTTGGGCTTGCATTGATCCACTGGGCTTAGTAAATAAGTCCATTCTTGTTTTAGCCCATTTCCAATTTCATCTTCTGTTTTTTTGGGTTGGGGTAGGGGATAGTGGATACCTCTTTTGTGCGTCTTTCTCGTGGAGGGAACATAATATAACATGGAAAGACATGGCCCATAACGAGCTTTATTTATTTCAAAGAGAATGAGGAGTGAATTGGGGAGGGGGCGATAAAATATAATTTACATGTGCAATCAACTTGTTCATGATGGATAATTTTGCGTAATCAATTGTGTAAAATTTATTTACATAAACATCGACCTTATTCTTAACAAAGTGAGAAGGGTGTTGACTCTCACGTCGATAAGAATGTGAATTATTTGACCTTTTTAAAATATATTTTTGGACAATATTAATAAATGAGGAACCGTGTAGGTGTGTTGAGTCCCACACCAATTAAGATGTAAAAAATTGTTTTTTTTTGTTTTACATACTTTTGTGTAATATTTACCTCATAAGCTATCTTCTGTAATTGAATTAAGTTCAACGTCTACTTCTTTATCTAAAAGCTCAATAATCTCATCTCTTTTTCACGAGTCGGTGCAACGATAAAACAATTTATATTTCTATTTCAAAATAAAGTTAAATTATATCCTAAAATATAGTACAATAATGTACCCAAGCCGATTTTTCATTATAATTTTTAAAGTAAATAAAAAAAATGATATAAGTCTTGACTCATTTATTACTTGGTGGCATTTTTTTGGGACAACAAATGCTTATTTGAATAATTACTTTGGTGTATATATATTGGTCCAAATTTTCCATGCTCTCAAGTCTCATATTTCTAATTATCCTGCTTGCTTTTAGTTCATTTTCTTTATATTTTTATTTTATTACAATCTAATTATAGCTTTTGTTAAAATGGACTAATTGAGATAATAAATAAGTGAATCTTAGTCTGTCCAAAAGTTAACGAGTTGGACTTAAATAGGCTAAAAATCAGGTCATTAACCCGCTCAAACCTAAACAAACTGAGCGAATCATAATTTTATGAACTGATTTTATCACTCCTGTCCACACATAACACATTTGTGAGTTGTATATTATAAAATTTGTTCAAGATGATTATTGCTAATAATTATCAAAACCTAGTCCTTTACCTTTAAATTTGTCCATTCTTCTTTAATTAGTCATTAGTTTTTTGGACCCCTTTTGACCTTTAGAATAATCACAAAAACATAAATTGCCTTTCCCTTTGATATTTTGTTTAATTGTCTCTCTTCTTTGATTATGTATATCATGCTTTAATTCTTGGTCATTTTTATTTTATGCATAAATAAATCAAGGTTGGGCCTAGATTCTTTGTCTTTATTAATATGTAGTTCCTTTAACTTGGATTATGGAATAGATTTGCATGATTTTATAGTGCTTTGTGTCTTTGATTAGACAAAGTGGTGTGTCATTAATTATAACAAAGATCTAATTAATTAATTATAACCCTAGAAGTGATCTTATTTACTCTATTATTTTATATTATATTATATATAGAGCTCTAGGTACATTCTTTTGTCCGTACACATTCCCTTTATCTTTTTTTTTTCTTTTTTAAGAAAATAAAAACAGCCAAGTGTACGTGTACCTTAGTGTCCATGGTTAGAAAATCAACTAATCAAATTTATTGAAAGGGGTTTAATTAAATTCCCTACATTGAGAAATATATATTATATATATGAAAAATATTTCATATTTCTTTAAAGTTCCCTCGATAAAAATTAAAAATCTAGTTTCACCACTGATTTTCGTGTGGAAGGGAGAAGAGTGTTCAAAAAAGGGAGGGGGAATATATTCAAAATTTCAAATGCAAAACTCTAATTATACTTAAACGAGCATCGAATAGAATATAATGAAATGACAAATTAATAATGTTGTTTTACTTGAGTCTAGGTCAGGTATATCAGAAACAATTCTTTTATCTTCATAAAGTAAGAGTAAGATTTGCCTACACACCACTCTTTTTAGACTTTACTTGCGTGATTACACGTTCGAGATATGTGATGATTGTGGTTGACACATCAACAATGTCATATAGTTGGTAACTTAATCATTATAAACAACTAACTCTACCAAGTTTTCATAATTTGAATTAAATCTTATCTGTTAATGCTTATCACTAAAGTCAAAAGATAATTAATAGGGATATATGTTATAATGACTATGGTTGGTTTTTTCATCATGAGATATTGTAAAAAATCCATAATAATAATCATGCATAATTATATCAAAGTTGTTATAGTGGTGGACACATGATGTGCTTACACTCCCATAGCACTAAAAGTCAAGGCAAAGAAGACATTTCAAACTGTACACACAGTAAAAAGCTTTATAAAAACTTCTAAAGAATCACAAATTAAAAAAGAAAAAGGCAAATCTATGGCCATATCCTGACAAGAAAATCAAGACTTTCTTTTTCATGGCTCTAAACATCAACCACAAAAAAAAAAAAAAACATAAAACTCAATATGAGTATTTTGTAAAAAAAAAAAAAACAAATATGATGCACTAAGCTTCTGCTATGCACAATGATTTGATTTAGCCGGTCCGGATCACCACATTCAAACTATTATACGCATCTTGATTTTATGACCTAACTTTTTGTTGTTGCATCAAGACTCCCCTTTCAGATTGCGCAACTTGAAATTGGTGCACCCCTTTTGATGTTATCCATATGTGTAGTCTCATAAACTGGCAAACCACTTGATGAATAGTAATCCAAGTCAATATTTGGCAAATCAAACAAATCAGAACTTGAATCACTATCTCCATCATCAACATCATCAACAATATCATCAACAACTTTGTTATATGTCTTGTTTTTGTCTGATGATGTTAATAACAATCCATTGTTTGTATTATTCTTATTATAAACTCCATTATTCTTGCTCAACTTCTCATCCAACCAAGAATAATCACTAGTGATATTGATTTTCTTGTGATGTTGATCACCATATGCAAAGCTTTTGAAATCTTTATAGGATTTTGTTGGAGTAGGTGCATAAGGAGGTGGAGTTCTAAATCCACTATTTGATGATGATTTTGAATCACTACTTGTACTATTAGTAGTATTAGTAGTACTATTAATAGTATTAGTAGTAGTATTAATATTACTTGAGCTTCTAAAGCTAAAGTGACTAATACTACTTCTTCTTTTCCTTCTTCCACTTGGGCTTTGATCATCTTCTTGAATATCTTTCAATGATTTCTTTTTCTTTGATGATGTTTGATTGAAGAGTGAATTCAAGAAACTAGCAAGTCTTCCTCCTGGTGAACTTGGTTGTTTATACTTCTTTTGATCTTTTTGTTTGATCATAATTGATTTTTGATGATGATGTTGATTATAAGTTGTTGTTTGTGAAGGAACAAGAAGTGATGAAGAATTTCTCATTATAGGCATATCAAAACTCATTCTTCCACCTCTCAAATTTTGCTTGTTGTTGTGAAAATTTTGATTGTTGTTGTAATAATCTTCATGTGTTGTAGAGAAATAATTTGCAGCCTCGAAAACATCAATCTCTCCTGAATTATTCCTACATTGGATAATTTTCTTGGACATTTTTTCATTAGTAATGGACATGATGAGTACTAAAATAAAGGTGTATATCAAAAGAAAATCAAGATGAAGATATGAAAGATTTTGAGAGTTAAATGTATTTAAAGTAGAAAAAAATGTATATATGAAGGATGTAGAAATGAGAGATCAATTTGTGTGGTTGTGAAGAGAAAACATGAGGTGTTTTAGGGTTATTATAGAAAGGGACACGAGGGAGGGGTTTTCTTTAGAAATTATTTGGAGTTATGGTTGCTAAGGTGAGTTTTTATAGAGTCTAACTAATATACAATTATACATACTTAGCATAAAGAATTTAACATTACCAAAATAATATATATATGTAAGTCTCCTTATATGTTGTGACTTGTAACCTTGAACATAAAAAAGTATTTTTTGATAGATATATAGATAATGTAAAATTTTCTTATGCTGACGATATATATAATATGAGTATTTTTGAACTCTTTTTTTATATAGTAATGCATTGAGGTTTGACGGTAGGATTTAAGTTATACACATAAATATTTAAATATTTTATATTATCATAGTAATTAATGATAACATTAGTTGTCATTTTATTATGTTATAGTTAATATTATTATTTTTAGAAATTCACCTATAATAATTAATTTGTTGATAATAAATTAATTGTATAGATATTTTATATCGTCAATGCATATGACTTAACTCGATAAAGGTATAATATTCTTTTTTTAAAATCAGACTTCAAAGTGAGTATCAGGAACACCGAAAAAATATATAATATAAGCTTTTTTTTTATCCTTCTTATGCTTTGACATCCATAAATTTTTGTAAGCATCATGGGGGGCATGGAAATGTGTATTCTTGGATTCTGATAAGCCTTTTTTTAGTGGGATATTTGCTTTCAACTAGTGTTAATAAAGGGTGTGTGTACCATGATTTTTTTTCTTCCCTAGACCCCCACCAAAAAAACCCAAATAAAGATGAAAAAAGATAAATTCCTATAATTCATGTTTCAACATTCATGTCACAAGAAAAGGAAAAGGGAATTGAAGAAGAATCAAATATAGTTTTTTTTCTCAACAAAGACAAAAAAAAAAAAAGCTAAAGTACTAATTCTTCCATTTACTAACATTTTGATGGATAAAAGTTACCCTATGCATATACTCATTAGACCGAGTCGAGATGATTCAAAATATAAAAAAATAAATTCATGAAAAATCATTATAATCTTATATATATAATATAATTATATTTTCTGTTAAAGGAGTTTATCTGAACCCCTTGAAGTGCGCACAAATTTAACCTGAACACTATTGTTATTTATATAAAAAAAAAAGGATGGAAAAGACACCTATATATATTACTCTTTCTTTAAAGATACTTAGGATTTATTTTTGATGATTTTTATTCTTAGAAAAAAAAAAAGGAATAACCCAAGAATAATATTACTACTAGCATGAGACATACTATTTCTGACAACTTTATATATTGTGTCCTCCAATCTTTGATAGAGAAGAAAAAGGAGTTTATGAAAGCTGAAAAAAACCATGATAGGTTCAGATTGAAGTGATTGTGGCCTGACAAAATATAGCTCAATATCATCGAGCGTTTATCGAAAATATTCTTTCTTTATCTAATATATAAGGATTAAATTATGTATGCTCTACTTTTCTCATATTTCATAATTTGTAAAAAATTTCTGAATGTGTTATTATTTCTGTTGTTGTATAATATGCACCATAGTAGAAATACACTATTCAAGGGTTATTTGGTAAAAAGTTGCCAAATTAGTGGATATATGAGATTAATTAACTTCAATAATTAGGCAAAGTCTTGTCTTATTGATTGACATTTGTTTGAAGAAGATAAAGTCCTAATTAAGCATGCATTTTTGGGAGATTAGCTTTCTTAATTATTGTGGGGTTCTCTAATTTGACCCACCCAAAAAAAGTAAAAATCATCCAAGATTCACCACTTTTCAAAATAACTTTTTTTTTAATCCCTTTTTGATTATTTTTAAAAAATAATTTTTAGTAGATAGAAATAAATATTTGAAAAACTAGAATTTGCTCATGAATTTCTAGTTCTACGTATGATAGGTGCACATAAATACCATAAAATGTCATGTCCGAGAGACACACAAAAATAGATTAAAAAAAAAACATTATGAAAATTATCGTTAAATAGCTTGTGTCTAACAAAATAGTTTTACAAATTGTCATATAAAATTAACAACCAATCTTTGTAATTTAACGACAAAATTAGTTGTTCGTTGCATTCTTTTAGTATAACAATCGAAACTAAAATTCTTTAATTTGTACGCTTTAAGACAATAGAAATCCTATTATTATATATACACAAACACCAAAGTATTCATTCATTATTCAAAAATAATACAAAAAATGTAATATTTTATTATATTCGAATTTTGATAGCTTAAAATTTTCAATTATTTAATAAGTCGTTTTTTGTCTTCTTTCTAATTACTCAAGAAATATCTTAATTAGGGCATTTATAGAGGGTGGAGGTCCCATACTTTAATTTAGTGTTGGCCACATTATTATATGTTGGATTAAAGCATCCAATTTTATTTTCACAACTCAACACACGTACGTCTTATTATTAAAGTCCATTAAAGATGTGATGGTCCAAATATATTTATCATACATGATTTGCATTGGGCAAATAAGTTTTTATTAAACTCCAATAATGTCACCATTCATCTCATATAAATATTAATACCAACGTGGATATGTGAAAAATAAAAAACAAATTTACAATCTATATTATTTGTCTTAGACGATTACTAATCTAAATTATTTTTTATTTCTCTTTTAAAGTTATGTTATAAATAGTAGTAGTATTTTGGTGATGACTCAAAATATAGTAGGGGTATAATTGTAAAATGTATGATCAAACTAGAAATACTTACCCGTTGTAATTAAAATCATAAGTTAGAGGCGACCAACTTATGAGTTTTAGTTGATTTTGTTTTATAAACACTTTTGGTACTATAAATAAATAAATGTTTATAAACTATTTTGATTGTCTTAATTTGTAAGAATATTTGTCTAAATTATCTTTTATTTCAACATAAAAATCTTATTTAATTAAGGTATCACTAATTGGAAGAATAATGGATTTATTTTTTAAAAAAGTACTTTTTTTCCCTAAAACATCTTATTATATTTACTGCAAATTTAATTTGACAAAGACAAATAATATTTGGGACCAAAGATAATAACATCTACTTAGTTAATTTTAGATGTGATCATGACATCTTTCTTACAGATCATTGTATTGTCAACTTTTAGCATGTATAAAAGTCACAAAAATATATAATTTAATTTATAATATATGTCAATATATAGAATTTATTTTTGAACATTCACTTCCAAAATTTCCTGGCATTTTCATCTTTATCTAACTAATTGCATTGAGCTTTCAGCAAGTGACTTTGCAGTGTCACTATCCACATCCCAATCTTTTTGTTATTTTCTTTGATATGTTAATCAACATCGCGATCAAAAAATATGGAATTAGCTACGGAATTTTTTGGGTTCCTACCTAATAAAATTTTCTTATAATTCGTCGATAATCCATTGCTAAATGGGATTAACATGAATTTTTTAATATTTAGTTATGAAATTTTGTCTGTCGCTAATTCTTGTTTTGTAGTAGTATATATACGATTCTATTTTTGACAACTCCACTTTTTTTTTCTATATTTGTTGGTCCAAAATATTGACTTTATTTGGTGATTCTAGCTATATCCATTTGATTGGATAGCATGGTTTTGTTATTATCCTCCTATATTTAATCAAATTTTCGTGTTTTTTTTTCATAACTTGGTGAAAGATTTAATATGAGTGCACATCAATAAAACCCTATTAGGAAAAATAAAATCTAAAAAGAACTTATTTGAAAGAATATACATATTTTAAGCTATTGGATTTTATAAAATTAGCTAGTAGATGTGGCTTGGACTTCTTATTTATTAGATTTCATATTAAGCATGAATCATATTATCTCCTCTTTTACCTTGTTCTTGATTTATGCAATGGTATTGGATTATTATTTACCTTATGTATCCTTATTGATAACAAACAACAACAATAACATATTCAATGTGATTCCACAAATGAAGTATGAAGAGTAGAACGTATGTAGGCCTTACTCTTATCTTTGTGAGGCAGATAAACTATTTCTGATAGATCCTAGGTTCTTATCGATAACATATCACTTTTTTTATTATTATTATTATTATTATCTATAAGACTCTATGATGCATGTGGATAATAAGGAATGAGGATGTTAGCTATTTCATGGGTAAGGATGATCAAAAGTATTAATTAAGTGATAGAATTGTTTCATATCTAAGTGTCATTAAAGCCCACAAAGAGGAAGGTCCAATAGGCTATGATTCAACTTGTGTGGGCACTATTTCTTTGGCCCAATTGGTCCTAACCATGTTTTTTCAAAACCAATGACAATTCGACATGTGTCAATAAGGGTCCCACTTTTGCCTCCCTCCCTTTTGTATGTTACTTAGATTCTAATGAATCAAAATACAAAAAAGGAGACATGTTAGTGTAGCTTTCTTTTAGTTTACACCACTTATATATAAAGTTAAATTCCATGGTTATTGTTCTCCTAAAAGTCCCCATCTGTTCCCTTAGTTTTTTTTAGATCATATGGACTTTTCATTAATAATAATTCCACACAATGGAGGAATCAAGATTGGTCCATGAGTTATGGTGTTTGTGGGACTACTTATCCATGTTTAAAATGTTATAGATCATGTTCTATGGACCAACGGCAAAGAAGGAGGAATCACATACCATAAGATTTTAATAATACTACATTTTATAAGATCTCGAGTTTCACCGACACCGAGACTCTCTTGTATCTATTCAGACTAGGTGAATTCAAAACTCTAAGCCAACAACATTCAAGGGTGTGATCTAATATAGTCCATGAGTGTTTGAAAATCACGAGGTCTCTTATTCAAAATCCATCAGAAAGAAAAAACAGCAAAAGGTGATTAGTACTTTTCCGTTATATATGTGTTGGCGAGAGGTAAACAGATACTTGCAGTAAAAGTAAGTACAAATTAATCTGAACTCCATGATTATAAAAGGAAAACCTCTCAATCAACATAGATGCAAAGTACCATTAATGTACTTGACTATATTGTGGAAAATGTGTGCGGATTTAATATGAAATATTCTCTCTAAATAAATTATTCAATTATTATATGATACAAATATATTATAGTGAATTCGAGCAAAAATGATTTCATATGCAAAGTTACCATTTAAATAGAGAAAATAAA